TTAATTTACATAAAGAGTCAAGAGAAATTTAAAGAAATGTGGAAGCAGCCTTGGATATATTGTGCATACATAACTCCTTGTGTGGCTAAAACCAAGTATCAATGAAGTTAGATGGAGTGTGCTTCATCATTAAAGTCTGGCTTCAGAAACTGCACAATGACAGCTAAAACTTTTTTCTTTTCCTCTTTTTTTTCTCCTTTTTTTTTATTTTTTTTATTTGAATGCTCAGAAGAGATAAGAAAGCCGAAAGAAGAACAGATGTGTTAGAAGTGTGAAATGGATTAAATCAAAGCCCCCTGGGAAAATCTGAAACATGAAATGAAGGATCCTGAATGACAAGAGCTATTCGGAATGCATTAAAAGCTCTGCGGTGCATTTTGGTGCTGTCTGTGTGAGCTAGGGAGAGATGCTGATAATGAAAGCTCTGTGAACTTCAGGGAAATTCAGTTCATCACTGAGAACTCACCTTGTGGTACAATTTGAATGAGATGAAAAATAACCCAAACTAAGGGGTTGCCAATATTTATTGTCTCCAGTGACATGAAGTGAGTGGATAATTTAAACCCTGGACTAACAAGGCAATAGGTGAAAGAGTAATTATTTAAAAATCAGAAACTATTCTAGAAATATATTTGTTGAGTGTTTGAATATAACTATGGATATTTATCAATTGGCGGATTTGCAGAATATTTTTGTTCACTTAAGATCAGAGAAGGTAAGTAAGAAAATAAATGTTAGATATTTTCTCAATGTTGTGATTTTTGCACAGATTGTTTAGAAGTAGATGATTTGTAGCTTATGCAAATTTACATTTGTAAATGGTTTCTGATCTGGCAAGCACTGGTTTCCATATAGTATCCATATTGATGGAAAGAGGTCACTGATTTTCAAACTGTGAAGGAGATTGTGCATGTTACTGATGAGTTTTCACTTCATCTAAACTCAATGAAAGTCAAGGGGAGTTGGTCAAATAATATAGAAAATATATCAAGATTTGTTCTGTGCTTGGAGACTGAAAATACTGCAGTCTCAGCATATAAATCTCACACCAGACATTTTGGATAAGTACAAGCCCAAATAATATTCATAGAAAAGGGGACTCTTTCAGTTGGCTACAATGGACCTTTGATGAGGAATCAGAAGAACTCGCAGTTCTTGTATTGCCCGAAGTCAATACCAGCACTTCATACAATACAAATTGTATTCCTTCCTGGATATCTATCTTGTACAGACATCATCACGACTTCGGTGAAAATCCCAGGCCTTTAAGTTCCATTCCAAGTAGTGTTTTCATCCCACTGCTGATACAGAGCAAAGTTTGATTTAAGCCAGAGAGTTCATCTTGACAAGGTGCTGCTGTAGCCATCTGCAGGTATGTAAGGCTGGGATAAAAACAAAACAAAACCAACAATCCCTCCTAAACAGAAGTAGGTTTCTTCACAACCTGAAACACAGGCCAGTTCTCAGAAATTAGCATCCTCTTGGTGCAAAGGTTTCTGCCTCTACTGATCTCTGACAAGTTTATGATGCAGACACTTTAATTTTTTTATCCTTGTCTAGCACTTTAGTTTATATATTGTTTGAAATACGTCATGAGCTTTAAAGGATTTCCAGCTTACTTGTGTATACTATCAACAAACCCCATCACTAATAGAATGAGTTGTAACAGCAGCATCTGCCATACATGCAGCTTATTTATTCTTTTAATCCTCTTTTCCCCATTTTTTGAGGGTTTTTTGTGGGGTTTTTGTGGATTTTTTTTATTTTTCCAAAATGGTAAGGGATTAGCTGGAAATAACATGACTTTCTTTTATCTCATAGAGGTAAAGATTTTAGAAAAATATAATCAGGGAACAATTAGTTTTGATGTTTTTAAGGTTAAAATAACATGCTCCAGACTGAAAGTTTTATAGTTAGAAGAATCTATTCTAACAAAATCTATTAGTTTCTAAATCAATATCCCCTGTTGATTAATTTCCTAATAAAAAGTGCAGGTCTTTACACTGTGTTCTACCAAGATCAGTTGTATTATTGGACTAAACAACACGATTCTTCCAACCTTATTTATGTTCGCACAAGTAATCCCATTACAACATAACAACTGTTAAAACAAATATTCTCAGAATGTGTACTCCAGCACAGAATATTTTTGGCACAGACTGTAGTTAAAATTTTTAAATAGAATGTGCAAGAGTTCAAAACACAGGGAAAGGTGGATTTTACTTATTTTTAGAGGTATATATTTGAGCTAAACATTTTTGCTTTCCTTTACAATCAACAGAGATTTATAAGTTGCACAAGAGAATCACTTGCCTGATATTTTAAGAATCTATTTAAGCATCAAACTATTCACAATTTTGAATTCTTTGTTTCTATCCAGTAACTATACACAGAATGGTTAACTTAGTTGTAGACACCTAAAATTTTGTTGATAGGATTATTTTAAATACTCACATTTGTATCCATTATTTTTTAATGGAAGTAAGAGTTACCATGGTTTCATGGAAAACAAATAGCTTGGATGTGCTGGGAAGAAAAATTGGAAATAAAAAGTTCTCCAAAATTATGATTTTGGAAGCATTGAGATGAAGAGTTCAGTCGACTGTAATACAAGTGTAAGGTTGAATTAAACAACAATAAGCAGTCCTAGAAATGGTTCTCTATGTAAATTTATCATGTAGTTGAAAAATATTGTTTGCCAAATAGGAAGAGTTGTGCCTATAGGTATATCTAAGTCCCTCATCATTTTTCTCTGCCTTTATGAATTCATTCTCTGAAGCTGTACTTCAGTTTTGTGATAGCTAAATGAAATACATGAGACTAGAATTTTTTTGGAGACCAGAACATTGTATCATCCTTCACTTAGTATGACTTCAGTTGTGCTTACGTCCTTGCCAGAGTACAAGTTCCACCTTTATCTCACATTTGTGAGACACCTTAATAATAACTGAAATATCCATGACAGTTTGCAGGTGAAGTCCAAGATTTTCAAATTAACTATTTAATCTCATGAGATCATTTTGCATCTTCTGTTGCAACAGTCATTTTAGATTCAGCCCTTTCTGCAAACCTGGATGGACAAAGATGTTCACAAGTCGGCCGTGCAAGAATGGAGACATAGCTCTTTTAGAAAATCTAAATCCAGCTTTGTCAATGCAGCAGTGAAACAGAGAAAACACAACAGAACTAATGCAATTTTTGCACATACTGGGTAAATTATAAAATAATTAGTCATGTTTCAGTTTAAATAACATGAAAAAAACTCCTTTAATTAAGATTCTTAATTAATCGTTGAAAGATTAATCAATCAATAATTATAACTATCATTATAGGGTGTAATTGTGCTTAATTGGAGGGGCTGATTAATGATCAGAATAAACCTTTTAAATACTCACACTTCAAAATGTTGGGAAGTGATGGATTTCAGCTCACAGAGTTAAAAAAAAAATAATCTAAGGATCATTGAAGATGTGTTCAGCTACCTGGCCAAAAATTGAAGGAATGGGATTGAAGTGCAGTAAAGCTTTCCATTGTTACATATAGGCACTACTGAGTTACTGCAGCACATGTGCCAGTGTGAGCAAAATACTAGTCAAAATATTTTAGTAAGTGATACCTATTCTGGAAATGGCAAGCTTTGTTTTCTCCATCCAAAACGCAAAATTTGGTATGTGCAAATACAGTTCAGTACATCTGTACTTGGATCATGACAAGTCCCAATATTTTGGTTACAGTTCAAGAAAAATTTGGAGCCATAATTCTAAGAACAGCAACTGTCCCATACACCTATATCTCAGGCGTGCTGTGCCATGCATATTTGTGTAATGCATTCTATTTCTCTCATGTATGTTGATGGGATTTCAAGATTGAACATGTCCTCAGCTTGAATGCTTGATGATCTTCTTCTGGCAGAAGGTAGTAGTAGTTTTTGGGGAAAAATTAATTGAATGGGTGAGTTTAAATTGCATTTTAAAATACCCTAAATTTTCCTTTATTTTTGTTTGTTTTGTGGTATTTGTTTCTATTTTTTTTTCCAAAATTAATTATTTTACAGATAAATTCAGTCTCTGGGTATAGTAAATCCCAGAAAAAAGCCTAAGTCTCATTCCTGGTTTGGCAGAACTTCCTGATTTTTTCACTGAACTGTATTTAATGTCACTGCTTCTCCCAGTCTAGCACCACTGAGTTATTCTGCTTAGTTATTTGCGAATGAAGGGAAAAAAAGGTGGAAGCATGAAATTTTAAACTATTAAGTGCTTTAACTGTATCCTTCATTACCCCTTTAGCTGTAGAAAAAAAAATCTCTAGAGAGAACAGTGTGCTTTAACACACTGAAACACTGCATTAAAGAGAGTAATAAATGTTATTTGGAACAGAAAAGCAAAAAGCATCCTGAAAGAACTTAGCTGAGAAGGGCCAGGATTGCTGTTGTTGCTAATTTACTTTTTTTTCAGGGAAAGTAAGGGAAATATGTGAAACAGGAGAGGGAGAAAAGACAAAGAAAGGTGACAAAGAGAAAAACACAGCAAATCTATAAAATTCAGCTTCTCTTTCTGATACTGACTCTACTTTCCAATGGGGGAAAAAGAAGCAAAGTGCACATTCCTATTAGTTCCCCAAGAACTCTACTCATGCTAGACTGTTTAAGATGTTGATTTAGCTGCATTTTTGTGACTAGATCACAGAAGGTTTGTGAAATAAATTATCTTGTCTGGCTAACCCAGACTGTTACTAAACAGAAGACTAAAGCTCTGTCTCTCATAGGAGAGGGGAAAAGGGGTGGGACAAAAAAAAAATAAAGGTGTGAAAGCAGAAAATCAGCTTGTGTACTGCACAGATTTGAGGCTGCTGATGGGCTATTCTCTGAGCCGTTTTCCCTGACCCACCTGGGAGAGATTTTCTTTCAAGGAATGCATAGTGCTGTCACTACAGATCCCTGAGTCCCAGGAGAAGGGATTGCCAGTTTGGGGTAGCTTAGAGAATGGGTGGATTGCACCTACCTGCTCCTTTTCTGCTGTGGGGAGAGATGAAGCCCTTCAATCTTCAGAAGAGTCACTTTGATGCCTCTCAAGAGTGAAACGTTTGTCAAATGTGTGTTTGAAAGTTCCCAGCATAATTACAGAACCGGGGGGGGGGGGGGGGGGGGGGGGGGGGGGGGGGGGGAGGGGGGGGGAGGGGGAGTGTTTCATTACAGCGGCTCTGAAATCATGACACATAGTTACTCATCCTGGTGTAGTCAAAGTCAACCATCCTTTGGCAAAGATAATTGGATTAGATCCATGCAGGTTGATCTTGCAAAGCACTAAGAACCTGGGTGATAACTGAACAAAAGATTTAATCGGTAGTTCAAATTTAATCACGGTCCTGTGGATTTCAGTGAAAGTATGCAAATTTACTGTAGCTCAGAGACTGGTATTCTTTATACATGAAAACAATATAAATCTTGTTCTTCATTACAATGCACAGCTATGCAAAAAAACCAAGAACTTCTAGAAATAGAAGATAATAAAAGTCTCGCTCCTAGTCTGACTCATTAGTCAATAGCATATAAATATTATTATTATTTGTATTGGAGCCTTTTTCCAGCATCGAATACAAGTGGCACAAAATGGCTTCTCTACTTAATGTTAAATTATGTTAACTTCCAAGAACAGATGATAAACAACTAAGCTTCCATCTAGCAGTGCCCCTAGTATTCAAATAGTCTTGAATAGCCACAGAAATTCTGATAAAGAATAATTTTTCCCTGAATTAACCATAGTAGAGACCCTTAAATTGTATATGAACTCTGACACCTGGAACCATTCCTAAAAACAGAAGAGGAACACAGAAATTAAAAATACACCTCACACTAGACTGAAATATTCCTCACTTGCATGGATTGAAGAATTTCTGAGAAATATTGTTTTACTCTTGCCCTTTGGACAACCTTTACTGGACAGCAAGATAAGATGATCAGGGTTATAGCCAGGGTCAGAGTGAAAATCCAGGAACTTTCTAAAGCTGGCAAGGTTTGTAAACCCAACTATATAGGAAAAAAGCTAGAAAAACGAAAAGAGATATAGCCATAAGACTAAGCTCCTTGTAATGTCTTTTCCAGGAACTTCTATCTTAATCGGGTAGAATTTACCTAATGGCATTAATTTCTTATGGTCTTGAGTACTATTTGTAGTCATCAAACATCTGCGTCTTGTTTTAGATAAGCTTAGACCACCATATTGTATCAGCAGTCTTAATAAAATATAAGTAGGTCCCAATAAAAAAACATAACTAATATAAAAACAGGCCTTTGGACTCTAGGAATTGTGTGCAACTGCTAAACTCAGGATTGTCAACAAACACCATCCATTTTTATTCCTCACATCTTATCTGGGCAGCTGTATACTAAACATCATTCCTCTGTATTTTGCATCTAAAGCACAAAGGATACAAGTCTATATCCAGATTTCCTCCCAAAATCATGTGAGGAAAAAAAAAAAAAATAAACCAAAGGGAAAGAAAGAATGGAAAACCAAGCATCACCATGATTTACCCATCCAAGTTCCTGGTTTCTGTTAGGTTCTTATGTAAAAGAGATCTACATCTCTATTTTAGGAGACGCTCAATCCAGCAGGAATATGGATGAGCCAAGTAAAGAAAATCTAGTTTTTGGGGTTTTTGGATTGAAATAGACATTGGGCAGCTCCAGATTCAGGTTGTATTATGGCAGAAATACACATCCCTAGGGAAATTTAGTCAAAAACCTAAGAATCCATGATATAGAAATCATTCCAAAAGCAGATGGTCAAGAGTCAGAATAATGAGTATATGGGATGTAGGTTAAATGGCAGTCAGTACATTGTCTAAATCCTTTTCTGCATCTACCTTTTAATCTGTTTGCGTTTCAGTTCTCCATCTGTAAAATGGGAAGAACCACTTATACCCTTTCATCCTTTGTTTATTAAGGAAAAAAGTCACACGGGACTCTGCTGTATTTTGCTGCATATTATAAATGAAATGCTGATCCCTACTGGGCCCCCTGGGCACTGCTGCTGAATAAATAAATTCATAGCTGTGGTTGTCACAGAGGGGGAATATTGACTGCAGGTGAGGAATGGATAGCAAAAGCAGATTAACTCTTAAGCATTGAGGATCCTGTTTTCCAGTCCTTTGTAAGAAGGAAAAAGTACAGAGAAAAGGAGAAAAATATATGACACACAAGATGAATTATTTCTAAATGGAATGGTTTTGAAAATTTCTCCACAATGTATCAGCAGCCTGTCTGCAAGTATCTTTTTTTTTTTTTTTTTGCCTTCTTTACACATTTTTGAGAAAATTTCATGCCAGTGAAAGATGCAGGATTGACATTTTTAAATCTCCCTTTTATCCACAGAGAAGATAAAGCATAGTCAGGAAACATGCAGCTTTCCTCAGATTTTCAGACCAACATGCATTCGTTTGACCTAAAGCGACACCTCTACAGGAAAGAAAAGCAGTTTAAGTCACCATTGTCATTTTATCCTTGGCTTGATGCTGAAGTTATTACCCTGAGAATTGAGTGGGATACTTTGGTGTAAGTATGATATGGGCACCTGTTCTTTCTGCTGATGCTATCCAGCTCATTTCATATGGGCCAATGTACTGTCTTTTGCAAACATCTTTCAGTCACTTCCAACCAGGACACAGTTGCAAGTTCATTACAGCCCAAAACAGCAAATCGTGGTTTAAAGGACTACACAGGCCAGTTCCTGTCTCCCAAAATCATCCAGCCACCCATAACACTGCTGCCCTGCCCCAGTATGCCTCTGTGAGATATTTTCTAAGGGGCACAGATGAAATTTGGATTTTTAGAAGGCCACCAGCTCTCACTGCTGTCAGTGTAATATGGTCACTAAATTCCCAAAGACAATATTACTGCAAATCACCTCAAATGTGCTGCAGGCGGTAGAATGATCCCATAATCAAGAAGCTAGGTCTTCGAGGACAAGTTTAATTACTTTAATCTATACAGCTCGGAAAACATAATGGTTAATGGGGTAATCTACTGAAGTATGTGGGATTTTAAATAGTATAGACTATGCCACCGGATGACACTACTCTCAGTACAGCAGAGATGATAAAACCAAGAGCATAAATGGTGACTGAAGAAAGCCTTAGATGTTCATAAATCAATAATTGATAAAATGTACTGTTGTGTAACTAAGTAGAATTTTATGTTGCAGGTAGAATAAACTGATTACATGATACTATAGTGCTCAGTGGAATTATGGAATGAGCTTCATTCATTCACTCTAATTGCTGCATATTTGTATACAAATGGCTGAAATGTTTCTATCAGTTTTGTAGTCTATAACAGTGCAAGAAAATTTTGCCCTGTAAATCCACAGATGACAGCCATGATATTTTCCCAGCATGGGGTACTATGCTCCTGGAAAAGCTGAATATCAACAGATACATAGAGTTTGATGTTCTTGATGCATCTGGCCATTAAAGACTTCAGAGCGCTTTTCTCATGGGTAGAGGCGTTAACCCCTCTGTCCTGGCTAGATTCCAACCTGGGTAACAAGCCACCTGGACCAGATGCTGAGGAAATCTAAGGACAAAGTGGTTGAGCTGTACAGAAATGAAACAATCTCTCATTAACATCATCCTCTGAAGATGTTTTATCTGTCTTTTAAAAAGACTTTAGGGATGATCCTGGGAATTACACACCAGTGAGTCTTACTTCAGCAAATGGACTGCAATGATAATTAAAAGTAGGATTATAAAATATCCTAGATAAGCATGATATGTAACAGACAAAGTAATGTGTGTTGTGAAAAGGAAAATCAAGCTTCTTTAATTTACTAGAATTCTTTGAAAGTGTCAAATGAATATTGGATAAAGGAGAACTGGCTGACATAATCTATTAGGACTTTCAAGAAGCTTTTGAGAAATTCTCTTACAAAAAGCTGTTAAGGAAACTAAGCTGTCATGGAATACGAAGGAAAACACATTATAATGGAGCAAAGACTGGATAAGAAACAGAAAGCATAGAAGGGAAATAAATGCTTCTTTTTAAGGAGGCCATGGCAGAAGCATGTGAAAAGTGCTAAATTTTTACAGTTTTGGTGTTCTTTTGGCATCTGTTTCCTTTTGTTCTTTTCTTTCATTTTTGTCTACTATTAGAAAAAAGTTATTTGGTGTGGTTTGCTTTTGTTTTGGGAGGTTTCTTTGTGGCACGAAATTGAAATTATTCAGTAGTGTTATATTTGATATCTGGAAAAAATGCTTACAATTCAGCACATTAAGAGCAGACTTTATAAAAGAAGTTAGTCAGATACTGGTTTCTTGAACTAAACCCTGTGAAAGTGCACAAAAAGCACATGCAGCCACAGTATTCTGTGTCCTTTTCCTGTTAGATCTACATGGTTGTAGCAGTAGACAGTGCTAGATGACTCAGTTTGGCCTATCCAAGTTTCTGGCTTGCTGAAGTGAGAGACAGAGTAGGCTGGGTGCTGGGTTGGGAGGCAGAGCTGTGAGATGCCTGTAAACTGCAACTTGTCACCAGCTTACATTTATAGGTTGTGTTTCCCTATCTACGTCCCACCTCTTCAGCTTTAACAACAAATAGAAAGACCAAAATTTTAAACATGTGCTGTTATCTTGTAGGAGATTTCACTGACTTTATAATTCAGATTGCATTTCTACTTCCAAGGCCCTTTTTCAGTATCTTACAGAGTGTGACTGTTTTGGGAGTCTGCTGCTACTCTGCTTTCTCCTGCTATGTGCCTACCCAGCATGTTCCCTCTCTGTTCATTTGTAAAGCAGTTCTTGCAAAATTAAAGTCTACAGAGAACAGGAATAGAAGGGTGACATGGTCTCTGTCACTTCAAACAGAAAATGTTCCAGTGACCTTTTTTTTTTTTTTTTTTCACACCTTGTAGGATTTCAATTTTCCCTTTAAAGCATGGACTAAACAATGTTGCCAAAAACATATGCTCTGTGTCAAACATTTCACTTATTCAGGAATCTAGAGGCAGCTGGAGAGTTCTCATTGCCAAAGTGACTTCAACAATTGTCTCTTTCACTTTTAATTGGAAACATGTTTGTTTCAGGCAT